CCGGAGTTTGTAGGTCCGGTGGTACGTGCCGCAAGTGCGGGAGAGAGGGGCATTATGCGAGGGATTGCCGTCAGTCGGCCCCGGTTCAGGATGTGAGGATTTGTTATCACTGCCATCAGGTCGGTCACATGAGGGCCAACTGTCCACAACTTGTTGCAAGACCGGTGCAGGCTCCAGCACCGGCCACTTTGAGGATTACTGGTGGGGGTCAGGTGGAGCGGAGCCTCCGAGGGCTCAGGGACGTGCTTTCCAGCTTACAGCAGAGGAGGTCAGGTCAGAGCCAGATGCAGCTGCTGGTATGTTTCTATCTTGTTATCTTGTTATTGTGTGGTATTGTAAACCTTTCCGTCTTTTCAGCATGGTTCTTAGTAGATCTGAGGATTTTAGTAATTAGGAGTTGTAGACGGTTAATTCCCAGGAGTATAGATGATCGGAAGATAGGTTGTATGATCTCTTTGCTAGGTATAGCATCTGCGATGTGAGAAGTGTTCAGCTGAGATTCGAACTTCCTTGGAGTTCGGATGTGCGATGTCGGGAGGGTTGTTCTGTGAAGGTTGCTCACTCCAGAGGGAATCAGTTCATGGATAAGGGGGATAATATCGAGTAGGGACGTTTGAGCTATGCCGGTTTCGCCATCGGTAGTTAGTAGTTGGTGCACTAAGTGGGGAGAATTGGAAAATTCTCAGGTGAAACAGCAAGCATCCAAGGTTGGTTAGATTCAGCAGTGTCTTTAGCCGAGAGTGTGGTCTGGTTAGAGCAGGTGATAGACACGTGGGTCAAGGAGCAGACCATGGTTTCAGATAAGGTGGTTGACTGACATGAGGCCTGGGGTTAGGCCGGGGTTAAAATTCATAGAATGGATCTGGAGTTCGGAACCCCAAGAGGGCTAGAACAGTCTACATGGGAGAGGTTCCCGGGAAGAATGGTTCAGGGTGGTGTACAACAGTTTTGAGCGGTCCGGATAGACTGAAGGCCGGTGGGCGTACCAGTCAGGCCGAAGGCTCGAAGAACGGTCCAGACAGGCTGAAGGCCCAAGAGGGCGGTCCAGACATGCTGAAGGTTCTGAGAGTGGTCCAGATAGGCTGAAGGCCTGGTAAGGCGGTCCAGTCATGCTGAAGACTCTGTATGTGTTAGTAGACCTGTATGCGGAGATTGATTGAGTATGTTGCTATGCAATAGCAATCAGTAAGTCTGGCCCCAAGTATTGATCATGATAATGGAGTTAGCTGAAGGCTGTGTGTGGGCCTTGTTAGTTATGTGATCAGATTCTGAATATATGGGAGTTTCGGAGTAGCAGTTGCTCTACAAATGGATAGTGTAGAATGGAGTTTTAGCACCGTGGCACTTGTTGATATGGTAAAGGTCGTCGAGTAGACTTCCTTGAATAATGGAAGGGAAAGGTATGTAGCTCCGGGAAGGAGTGTTGGTCAACTGAAGGGAAAGCAGTAGTGTGAATGGATGATCGAAAGTATTTCAGTCATGGACAGTGAGCATTGGGATTGTACTAGTTATATGAGAGCACATCTGGGTTGGGTGTCTGTTGAGGTTGTGGAATGATTATCGGTGGTGTCGAATCAGAGGAGTTCGGAAAAGATGCAAGGATAGATCCTTGGATTCCAGGTATGGTTGTAGTCATGGGTTATGTATGTAGTGGTATTCCATCCTAGGGATGACTGAACCCATCGTAGGCGTGCCTGGTATTCCAGCCCGAGGCTGTTTGGGCCAGGTACGATGTGTATATGTGTTATAGATGGGAGTTCATAGGAGTTGCTCGGAAACTGAAGAATGCATTATCATGTCAGCGCGGAAAGGGATTGGATTCAGGAAAGAAACGGCATGAGTTCCCAACAGTACAATTTGATAGAAGTAGCTCCAGTTGGGCAAGGGATAGCAGACTAGTACTGGGTCAGGGCCAAGTGGTTTATAATGGTATCCAGTTTTCGCAAGCTGCGAATGAATGTGTAAGACGGGAATATGGTAGTATCATCAGGTGATACTTAGTTGATATGTGCTGTCATCAGGGAAAAGAAGCCGATGGCTGGCTTTGATCAGTTGTCAGGGACTTGCAGGAGAAGGAGTTGATTTTCTTTAGGGATTCGATAGTAGTGCCTGAAGAGACCTGGGTCGGTTTGAGATCGAAGGTTGCATCGAAGGAGTGTTATCCGAAATCGTGTGCTGCAGCAGGCTTCGAGGACGAAGCCTAATTTAAGTGGGGGAGAATTGTAACATCCCAAGTTCAGAAGCAAGAGTTCGGGGGTGTAAAGTGTAAATGGGAGGATGGACTCGGCGAGTTGGAGCTATAACTCGTCGAGTCGGAGCATGTGAGGAGCACGTGTTAAGTGGCCTGACTCGCCGAGTCGGCGGCGGGACTCGACGAGTCAGTGCTGTGAAGAGAAAACCCTAAATCTTAGGGTTTGCACCCTATTTAAAGGATCTATTGTCCACCCCTCGGCCCCCTTACTACCCTTTGAGATCCAGAAACCCTAAAATCGTGAGTGAGAGCCTTGGGAGCATTTTGGAGCTTGGATAAGTGATTTTGTGAAGGGATCTTGTGGATCAAGAAGCTTGTATCAAGGAGAATTGTGGAGATCCGGATTATTCATCAGTTGGAGGTCGTCTTGAGGTAATGAATCGCTTCCTTGGCCCTTCTCCTTTCTAGATCCATCTTTCATGGAGTTTTAGGGCTTGTTTGGGGATGATATGATGAGATTTTGGTGCATAAGTTAGATCTGGAGTTGAAACTCCAGATCTGAGTTCTACTTGGATCCTAAATGCAGAAAGCCTTTAGTATTGTTATGCAAAAGCCATCCCTCATGAGTTAAGTTCCTTTCTAGCTTGGTTTTCGGATTTTGGGACATGAAAGCACGTAAAGGTAGCAACTTTATGTTGCTAATGCGCTCTAGGGACCTAGATCTACTGTTTGGATCAAAGGAGTAGCTCTGTATCATTCGATTATGGGAATACCCGTATGAACTCGGCGAGTCTGGGAGATGACTCGGCGAGTCGAGTGGGGTTTTGGTTCGATGTAGTCCCGAGTGGACTCGGTGAGTCTGGGAGATGACTCGGCGAGTGGGTCTGAGGTTTCAGGCACTGAGTCGCGTAGTGACTCGGCGAGTCTGTTAGGAACTCGGCGAGTCGGGTCGTGTATGGTGGGTTTCTGAGTTCATAAACTCGACGAGTCGATAGGTTGACTCGGCGAGTAGGATCAACCAGGAAGGTTGACTTTGACCAGGACTGAGACTTTGACCAAGAGTTGACCTGTTGATTTCCAGGGGTATGTTGGTAATTTGGGTTCTGATAGTTGTGGTTTCTTTGGAGTGATAGGTGGTGGTGTTTGTGGCGGTGATCGAGGGTTTTGATTCTATCTCTCCAGCTCGGCAAGTGCAAGGTGAGTTATCCTCACTATATCAACAGGGTCTAAGGCACCAAGGCCGACCCTTTATCGGATTAGAATCCGGGTAACTGTTTGATATGTTTTTGATTTGTTAGATCTGCATCCGGGTAATTAGGATGGTATTATGTTAGTGACCTGGTTTAGGTCGATATCCTGGTATATAGGTTGATGCTATGCTAGTGACCGGTTAGGTCGGTATCCTGGTTAGAATGTTGCTATGCTATATGATCTGCTGGATCGGTTTGTTTGGTTGTGGATAGTTATGTGATTACCTGTTTATGTGCACATGGTTGTTTGATTAGGGTTGGGTTGAGGCGGGTCCTGCTTTGTGCTGTAGGCCAACATACCCAGGGCGGACCGGATAGACCGAAGGCCCAGCGAGCGGTCCGGATAGGCTGAAGGCCCCAAGAGGGCGGTCCAGACGTGCCGAGGCTCGGAGAGTGGACCAGACAGACTGAAGGCCCGGTGCGGGCGGACCAGTCATACTGTAGACTCAGAGGGTGGACCGGGTGGACTGAAGGCCCGGTGCGAGCGGACCAGTCACACTGTAGACTCGATATGCATGGCTGCTCTGTATTGTGATATGATATGATTATGGTTGTATGTGGTTGGTATTTTGGGGGTAACTCACTAAGCTTTCGGGCTTACAGTTTCAGTGTATTGTTTCAGGTACCTCAGGAGATCGTGGCAAGGCGAAGGCGTGATCGTACCGCTCCTCATTTTTATGCTGATGTTTCTGGGATACTCTGATAATAAACTAATTGAAAACCTTTTTGTAATAATTAATGGAATTAGATTGTTTTTGAAAAAGTTTAAATTGGTTGGAAATTTATGAGTGTTACAGGACTTAAAGAGAAACTTACCAAAACTTGAATGTTACATCACAACCCTTTACGTGATTTTAAATGGGTTAGTTTGGTCCCAATTAAGATCAATTGTTTCGTGTGGCGGGTTCTCATCAATCGTATTCCGGTGACAAAAAATTTAAATGAGAGGGGCATTCCCCTGGTTTGTGTTGTTTGTCCTATATGTAACATCGATGATGAAGACGTTGATCATATTTTCTTGAGTCGCTCTTTCACGTCTCAAATTTGGAAATGGTTTCAAGATTGGAGTGGTATATTGACGAAATGCCCGAAAGTGGAATGGAGTCGCTTAAGGAGTTAGATGAATCTGTTCAAAGAAAGAAGAGGAAAAAGCTTAAACTTGCCTTGATCTTTTAGGTGGTTTTGTTAATTTGGAAGACCTGTAACTCCTTGGTGTTCAACAAGAGGAGAAGCTCCCCTTTACGGATGATATTTAGTTAGTTACATATAATTGGATTAAGTATATTTCTTATTATAATTTCACTTGTTGGTTCGATTGGTGTATCTCACATTCCCTTATAATGCTTGTAGAGTGTAATTTTGTTGCTAGTCTTTTTTTAATGTATTCGTAGTTAAAAAAAAAAAAAAAAAATACTAACAAGAAAAACTCATTAATTTTGTTTTTTTAACGGGCGTTATTTTGATATTTCATAGTTAATTCAAAAAAATAAATATTGAAGCCGCTTTATTTCCTGTAATCTCCCGAATCAATAAATTTAAAAATTCGATGCATTTATTACGCCCTTTCACTTTACCCATTTCAAACGAGAATTGTCATCGAAGAACAGTCGCAAGTCGCAAGTCGCAGGTTCACAGTAGTCACTCCCAACGCACAAAATCCCAAACTTCTGGGTGTTCCTGAGCTTCACATCCCTCTTTCCTGTATCTCCATAGCTATCATCAATACCCCAGCAGCAGCAGCAACAACAACAGCTCTTTTTACTAGCATGTTATGTATGACTTGCATTTCTGGATCTGAGGAGTTATAGTGAGTTCGGGCTAATAATTATCAGCAATGGGAGTGTTAGCTGAGTCATGGTGTTTCTGTAACGGCATATGCAAGTCGGAGAAAACAAAATCCACCATATATTCCGGTAAAGGTCCAGCCATGGTTAGAATTTCCACCGGCACTGGCTTTCTCATCCATCGGAACCTTCTTCTTACAACTCATGCTATACTCCCCTCGGTAGCCGCCGCTGAGGCCGCCGAGATCCAGCTCCAAAACGGTGCCGTTGCTTCTCTTTTTCCTCACAGGTAAACACTTCGACTTCCATAAATTGCTGTGTTTATGTTTGTGTATATCATCCTACTTGATCGAATTTGAAATTGGTAATGGTAGATCTGATAGAGTCTGATTTTGCTAACCCTAACCAGTTCAATTTCGATAAATGAGCTAGATTATTCAATGTTTTCCATTTTTTCTTTCCGCTTAAAACTGTACATTGAATTTAGTTCAATTGAAGATATAATCTTATGCCCTAGACCTTAATAGTCAATGCCATAGGTTTTCCCCCTTCTTTACATGAACTATTTACTTCAAATGGATTTGGAACTCTATAGCACCTTACTCATGTCATAAATTCGCTAACAGGTTCTTCATTACTAGCTCAGTTCTTGATCTAACCATAGTTGGTCTTGACGTCATTGATGGAGACTCAAATTCACAGATTCAGCAGTCTCACTATTTGAAAACCTGTTCTAAACCAAATCTGGACCTTGGTAATACAGTATACCTCTTAGGCTACACTGAGAAAAATGAGCTAACAGTTGGTGAAGGAAAGGTGGTTATAGCCACCGACAACCTCATAAAAGTCTGCTCCGGTGGTCTAACATGGAGCCCTGGTTCAGCCGGTTTTGATGTCCACGGCAATCTATCATTCATGGTCTGTGATCCAATGAAGCTAGCCACATCCCCAACCACAAAATCATCATCAACATCATCTTCTTCCACTTCATTTTCAATCAAGAATCCCCCAATGCAATTCGGCATTCCAATTCCTATAATATTCGATTGGTTAAATCAGCATTGGGAAGGGAGCCTCGACGATTTAGTAAACAAACCAAAACTTCCGATCATTAGGTTGATGTCAACAGGCCAAAAAAGCGAACACTCATGTTCTTCATTCACAAAAAGACGAGCTTTTAAAACGATTGAAGATGAAAACGAAGCAACAACTCCAACTCCATCATCGGAAAATATAACGCCGAAAACGAAGGTTCAACATCAACCGGGGACAAGTTCTTCCCCGATGGCTAATAGTTTTCAAGATGAAACGCCACCGATTTTGACTCGCGCTCAAGGAATCCCGACTCCCGAGATTTACGAATCGCCAAAATTGACCTCGACTCCTTTTCGGAAAAACGAAAAAAGCCCTAAAACTCAAATTCCGCTTCTGGATATCAACTTCCCGCCTAGAACCACCATAGCCACCGCCACACCGCCTGTGAGAAAAAAAGTTCCGGCGAGTAAGGGAGAAAAATTAGGGTCAAACTCAAACATGGGAGCCGAAGCTGAGAGTTCTGTAAACGGTGCACAGAGTGAGGTCCAATCGTGTGCATCGCCAGTTGAGTTATTGCAAGGGCAAAACGGGAATTACAGCAGTGAAGGGGAGATGACGATGTACTCTGCAGAAACTGCTGAAAGCCATAACTATCCGAGTCCACGAGAAGGAAGGAATCAGGTGGGTCGGAGCCAGAGCTGTGTGAATTATAACCGGTGGGGTCCGGTTCAAAGGAGAAAAGGTACAATAGGTTATTCACAAGGTACAACTTCTCAAAGGAGTAATGACTTTTGTAGCCCTACTGTGTCTTCGATTATGAAGAAACAGAATAACTCTGAGCGGTGGATTAATAGACCTCGGCCGACTGCAACTCGTTCTTCTCCAAAATGGACGTTTTAGAGGTAAATGATATCATCGTGTATGTTGTGTCTCATTTTTTGAGTATAATGGAAATCTCTAAAATGTAACTATTTTCATAGTGGCAAATCACATGTACAATGAACATACTTTTAAGGCTTGATTTTTATTCTACAGAACATATAATCAAAAGTTGATGTTTAAAAGAGCTGAATGTAGGCTCGTAATGTCAAATATTATCTGGTTTTACAACTCGCAAAAACAAATGAATATTTGAAAATGATATCAAATACTCACAAACCAAAAAAATACTACAAAACTGTACATTTACTATAATGTAAGCCTTGAATATTTGCCAATAAAGACCCACATAAAAGAGACGTAATTGCAACTGCCAACATTGTAAAGTCCTTATTAATTGGTCTTATTATGCTAACAGTGGGACCATCCCAAAACAAGCAAGGATAAGACACAAAGATTTTGGAAGGGTTAAAGAAGTCGGTAACAATCCACTTACCTCTATAGAGTTCAATGGATTGCCACATCATCCATTAAACATTTTATATAACACCATCCACAATTCATTAAACACCTATTCAATCTTAATCACCACTTTATTAATTCTATTGAACCATTCAATGATCATTCAACACCTCCATTCAACTCTACTCCATGTTATCATCCACACTCTATTCAACTCGAATTCAATCTTAGTTATCATCCTATTCAACTCTTATACTACTTGCATTGTGGATGCTCTAAGTTAGAAAGGATAAAGAAAGATCAAAATATAAGCATTTTTTCTCAAATATAATATATAAATAAATTCCTATTATTTTTTCTCAAATCTCTATCTTTTATCTTTACAAAGTTTCAAAAAATAACAACTTAAGGATATCTTTCAGTAGGGTAACATTAGTGGCCCTTAACGTTTCCAAATATAACATGTACGGTCATTCAATTGTTAAAACTAACTTTTAACAAATTATTTTTTTAAAATGATAGATTTTACCCTTGGACCAAATTTGAAATATATAAAATACTTCAAGGACCTTATCTCTAACCCTATCTTTTTTTTTTTCTTTTCGTTTTTTTACAAGTACATTGATGCATTAGATCAAAATTATTTTTTTAATAATTTAATAAATAAGGTTTTTTAACAGAAAATATGTTTTTTTTATAGTTTAATAGTTCAATATTTTTTTTTCAAAAAAATAGAAAACATCAATGTTTTTTTTTCACATGTTCTTATAAACACATGTTATGTTTCATGTAATTTAAGGATTTTTCACATTCAATATCGTTATCAATTTTAAGTTTGCAGTTATCATTATTATTATTATTATTTGACATTTTTTATTCAATTTTTGTATAATTTTATTTATTTATGGTTTTTCTACGTTTTTATTTATTTTGATTCAAGTAAATTAAAATTAGAAAAAAAAACATAAAAAAAAACTCAAAAACCAAAAATGTAATATAATGTAATATATTCATATATTTTACAGTTTTTGTTTTTGTTTTTTCTTAATTTTTTCTTTTATTTTTTTTCATATTTTTAATTTTTTCATTTTATTTTTCATCAAATTGATAATTTTTTTTGACATTTTTCAAAAAGTGTAAAATTATGAATATATTAAAGTATATTACAATTTTGGTGTTTGATTTTTTTTTGGTTTTTGTTTTATAATTTTGGCAATTTATGGGTTTTCAATGTGTGATATTTGTGATTTATAATTATTAAAATAAGAAAACTACGGGTAAGTTTTAAAATGTAACTTTTCTATTACTTGAAACAAATTAAAAAAAATTATAAAACTATAAATTACAAAATTTATAAAAAAAATAGAAAACAAACAAAATCAAACACCAAAATTGTAATATATTATATTATATAATCATAATTTATACTTTTTGAAAAAGGCCAAAAAAAATTATCAAGTTGATGAAAAATAAAACGAAAAAATTATAAATATGAAAAAAATAAGAAAAAATTAAAAAAATATTATAATTTTGGTGTTTGAGTTTTTTTAGTTTTCTATTTTTAATTTACTTAATAAAAAAATAAAAACATTAGTAAAATCATAAATAACTAAAATTACAAAAAAAATAAAAAAAATCAATTAATGATAATGATAACTAGAAACCTAAAATTGCTAACGATAATATATGTGAAAAATCCTTAAGTAAGTTACATGAAGCATAACATACGTGTTTGTAAAAACATGAGAAAAAAAACTTTAATGTATTTTTTTTGTTTGAAAAAAAAAATCTTAAAGTATTAAACTATAAAAAACATATTTTCTATTAAAACCCCTTTTTATTAAATTATTAAAAAAATAATTTTGATCTGTAGTTGTAAAAAGTATAGGGTTACAATAAAGGTCTTTGTAGTATTTTATATATATATTTCAAATTTGGTCTTTTGGTAAAATTGTCATTTAAAAAAAAATTAATTGGTTAAAAGTTAGTTTTAACGATTGAGAGACTATACACATTATATTTGGAAACGTTAGAGGTCACCGGTGTTACCCTAATGAAAGATATCCTTAAGTTGCTACTTTTTGCAAATACATATACCATTTATGAAATTGTCTTATCCTTACAACAACTCTTATAAAGAAGGTCATTCAAATCAATATAGTTCAAAATAAATCATATATCTTGAATTATATTCATTTGAAACTCCTAATTTTTCAACTTATATTATTTAATTGTTTGGTTAGTTGAAATGATTGTCTATATAAAAAGATTATTTCATACTTGGTTATTTAAAATGAAAGAAATAGGTGAATGATAAAATATGCTAGGGAAAAACTTTTTCATTTATGATACTATAACTCAAGATAAGTGACTAAATGTAATGGCCATATGTGAATGATAAAACATAAATGACTAAACGTGACTAAATGAAATGGCCATATTATAACTATATTTTTTTGTATATATTTAGTCACTTATGTTTTTGATTTTGTACACATATGAACATTACATTTAATGGTCATATATATACAAAGTAAAAAACATAAATGACTTAATGTGTACAAAAAAACATAAATGACTAAATATATACAAAAATATTCATAAGTGACTAAATATATACACAATCTAAACTATGTTACATTTTAAAAGCATTATCCCTTTAGTCAACCAACCCCCATAGTTTTGGTGTCTGTTTCATGTCTAGCTTTTTTAAACATTATACAAAGAGATATATAACAATTTAAGAGAAATGACTTATGTGGGTAATTAAACTATTGCCTTTGTATTCATTTGGTCATTTTCCTATTTTTTTTTTTTTGTATTTGATTTATCATTAAACTTGTTGTAGGTGTTCACATAAACCATTGAAACCGATTATTGAAGGTTTCCGACAATTTCTTATCTCCGTCGACTCTTTAGCCGTCTTCTCTGGCGAGCCTCCGGCAAAAATGAGTTTTCTGACGGATCCTTGGGGTCTCGGCTGGATGACTTACAACAGTAGCAAGCAGCAGGGGGTGGTGATGGTGGTTTACCGGCGGCAAAAGGGAGGTGACAGTTGGGTTCCAGTGATGGTAGAAAGAGGTGGCAGGTGGCTTGCTGCCTCGTCCCTTCTTCGTTTTTCTGGCACAAATCGACAGAAGGGAGAAAGGGGAGGGTGGAGAACGCTAAGCAGAAGCATCGACCGTGGGTGCCGCTTGGATGGCAGTTGAGAAAAGTCCGCCGGAAAAACTCAGTTTTGCCGGAGGCTTGCCGGAGAAGACGTTCGGAGAGTCGCCGGAGATAAGAAATTGTCGGAAACCTTCAATAGCCGGTTTCAATGGTTTCTGTGAACACCTACAACAAGTTTAATGGTAAATCAGATACAAAAAAAGGAAAATGACAAAATAAATACAAATACAATAGTTAATTACCCACATAAGTCATTTTCCCAACAAATTTATATCTATGTGGATACAAGCTTTGTTTCTATAATACTATCCCTTTCTATAGATAACACCGCTTGATTATATTTTTATACCCTTAAATCATTTGTTGGCTTGACAACCTAATAACCATAGTATATTTTGCTTAGGGTTTTGGCACCGTAGCACAACAAAGTTTGAGAAATTTACACATTTAGTTATTCGTGTATATTTTTTTTGTACAATAGACCATTAAAATTAACTTTTACCTATTAATTGCACCATACAGGTTGAACCAGTTACTTTTATGATGTGACATTTTAAATTGAATTTCTTTATATCTTGGCACCTAACTTTTGTATCAATCAATAACAAACACTGTTGAAAAAGCGTCAAATCGGTGGTAACTTGTGGTGAAATGAGGGATGTTATCAACACTGATAAATTTTCTAAAAGCCTGTTGGCGACCCTCCAATCGTTACCCATACACCGGTTTCGACACAGCCAGAAAACAAGACAGACTTCTTTGGTATAAAGACCTCGACCACCATTTAAATGGCGAGTTCTCCATGGTTGTTGTTCAAGACAATATGTTACTCGAAGATCAAAGCTAGATTAAATCCGGTTCTTTAAGCTTTCTCGATTTTGGCTCCTATGGAACTTTTATCGGTGTCTACGACGGTCATGGCGGGCTCGAAACATCGCGTTATCTCAAAGAAAACCCAAATCAATAAATTTGCTAGTAAGTAAGTAGAATATGAAATTGATGCTATTTAGTGTGGGGATTTTTAGGGTTTACTACAGAACAATAGTCGATGTCGACTGATGTTATACATAAGGCAATTCAAGCAACTAAAGATAGGTTATTGTCGATTGTTGCTAAACAATGGATTGTGAAACTGCAATTGGCTGCTGTTGCATCTTGTTGTTTATCTGGTGTGATTTGTAATGGTGTTCTTATATTGCAAATACCGGTGATTCACGAGCTGTTTTAGGGAGAGTTGTGAAGTCGATTGTTGAAGTTATTAGGATTCAACTGTCGACTAAACATAATGCGAATATTGAGTCTATTAGACAGGTGCTTCATAGATTGCATCATGATGATCCTGAGATCGTTGTTTTGAAACATAATGTTTGGCGTGTCAAATGGCTTATACATGAATCACAACCACCTCCCACCACCACCATTCATCTTCCCCTAAACCACCACCCACAACCTAATCAAAAGTAAAATTAAATCGATATTGTAGTGGGGGGCGATTACAGTATCAATCATCCTCTCGCCCACCATGACTG